TAACTTTTGAACGGTGAGGGCTAGGGCTTTCGTTCTTCACATATGCAATCTTTTTCAGAAGACCTTTCATTGGATACCAACAACTTTTACCCTTTGACCTTGACATTGGAGTTTTAACTACTTTTAATTTTTTTTTGTAACTTTGGTCACAACTGTTGAACGGTAGATACTAGGACTTTTTTATTTCACATATGTATTCTTTGTGGCAAGTCCTTTCATTGGATATCAACAACTTTGACCTTTTGACCTTGACCTTAAAGATTTACGTACTTATGTAAAAACTTTAACCTTGACCACAACTTTTGAACGGTAAGGGCTAGGGCTTTCATACTTCACATATGTAATCCTTGTGAGAAAACCTTTCATCAACAACTTTAACCCTTTGATCTTGACCTTGGAGTTGACCTACTTTTAAAAAACGTTAACTTTGGCCATAACCTTTTAACGGTCAGGATAAGGGTTTTCATCCTTAAAAAAAATCAACTTCAATGATAATTTCTATGAAGTGACATATGATAGGATGTTTATATTAGACACAATATATCATAAAAAATAACATCTCACCAACAAAGACACCGAAAGCGGGGGACCACAATTCTTTGAATTTGCTTGTTTCTTTAATCATATTTACAGGGGAAAAAAATTATTACGAATTTCCAGAAATCAGTGAAAATGTTATATTTGTATTGACCCCAAAATGTCTTAATAGTGGTTTTTTCATCAAAATATGTCTGAAAAGGTGTGATTCAATCATAATTCTTTTAACATTTATAATATTTTGTCCATTATGGTTGGGGCATATTTAGGGTCTTAATGCCCCTGATTCTTTGTCGGATGTTAATCTCAGCAAGATGTCGTAGTGACTAAAAGTTTTGGTCTGGTGTCCCTACGAAATCTCAGCTCAGTGTCACACAAACTGACTGGGGTTTTCTTGCCTTGACTTCGACCGCTTGTTTCAATCATTACGGACTGAAATGAATTTGCTGTCCGCTTTAACTTTTTCCTTATAGGACATCCTTTTAAGTTTCTATCACGATAAAAGTTTCGTTTCTTACCTTTAAAAGGTTTAAATCCAACAAAATATAAAGTTGTTTACTTAATTTTTCATAGAAATATCCCATTCGTTTATAACCTCCGATGCTGAAGAGTTCAAGCAATAGTCTGCTTTAAATACTTCTTACTATGGTTCATTTCTATAATAGTACTGTAGCAGAACGAAGTATTCGAAGCAAATTATTGCTGGAACTCTTCAGCGACTATTATTATGAAAAAATGAGTAATATTAATTTTCAGCATATATAAATATTATGGGACACATGTATTTATTTTAATGTTTAGGCATTGGTCTAAACAAACACTTTAAGTAGCTTTAAACAAATATTTTTTTTAGAATAGATTATAAGTATCTTTGACTTAAAAAAGATAACTAAGAAGTTTCCACAGGAGTCTGAAGTTTTTATCGTCGAAAAAAATCCGGGAAAAAAATGTCCCACCCTCAATAAAAATAAACACCAGGATGGCAACATGTTTTGGGGACCTACCAAAACAAATAGACCTGGACTTGGACACCATGCCACTAACCGGAAGTGAATCTCGCAGTGAATATTTGACGTTAAGTGAAGAAAAGAAAGAAAAATGCATGTAAAACTTCATGTACAATATTATATTACCATATGTGATCAATTTAAAAAAAAACGTATTTTTCAAACAAAATAATGCCTTAGTCTAGCTGTTTGGCTATTTGATGACTGGTCTTTTCAATGATTTAAATTTGGCGCCTTGTAAAAACTGAATTATCTGCTCCTGGTGCATATTGTCATAAAAGTAAGAAAAAGAATTGAAAAGTTCTCTGAAATATATTTAAAATAACTGAATCAAATTTTGTTAAACAATTATTTATTTTGTTTAATTTTAACAAGCTTTTGAGGAAATCAAATACACACTGCGAGATTCACTTCCGGTCTAGTGGCATGGAGTCCAGGATGAGCTATCAAGGTGGGAAAAGGGCCATGCACGGCCAGTAGTCGTCAAGCAATTTGGATTTTTTTAACTTGAATAAATAGCACAAACTTACCACTCCGGATACTGAACTAGTCGCTAAATTATTCTAGCCAAGCCCAGGTCTATTTGTTTAGGAGGGTTCCCCCAAAACACGCTGCAACCCTGGTGTTTTTTTTTTGTTTTTTTTTTTAGTTGAGGGTGGGAAATTTTTTCCGAATTTTTTAATTTTTGGGACGATAAAAACTTCAGACTCCTGGGCTGTAAATGATTTAAAACTCATAAAATCAGAAATACGAGACTAAGCATGATTTTGGAATATATCTTCCAAGTTATAATGCCTGTTCGCGGTCTTTTGTCTTGTTTGAGTAAACATGCATTTTATTTGATTTCGAAAACTCAACAGATAAGACTGATTAAATCAGAATTATAAGTTTTATTTAGATTAATACGAGTTTTTCGGAACATTGATGACAAAGATGGATCAGTATCCTCAAGCAAACAGTTAGCTCTAACTCCACTTTACGAAACGTTGGATCAAGGGGTAAATGATTCAGGAATGACTGTCGTATTGTAATTTTTGTATTTACTACCACCCGGTAAATTAAAAAATTACTATATAACATGATGATAAAAAAAGTTCAGCGACTAAAAAAAATGTTAATGTGACTGATTCAAATTGTAAAATGTTTTGTAAAATTTCTTACTCAATAGATGGTCTTACGAATAAGATTTTTATTATTAGAGTACATATGACATTATATTTCAGATATTTTTGGGGGGGGGGGTGTCGATGTTGTATAGAAAACGATACAGGTTCTTAACAATGCCACCAATGAGCCAAATCTAATGACTGTTCACACATGAAACGGAAGGACGCAGCCTTGATTAATTGACGGTCCAGAAACACAAAAAAGTTAGACCATCGCAGCCATCTACATAATTCATCTCAGACAAAATTACAATAAAGAGTTCTACGTCTTTGCGGTATTATTATCACATATGTATTATTTTGTCAAAACCCTTCCAACGGATACCATCAATTTTGACCCTTTGACCTTGGGAGTTTGTTGTTTAACGACTTTGGAGTTAGACCGAATTACAAAAAATACCATTTTTATTCTGAACAAACAAGATAAGGATGTTCATAGTTCACAGGGATAAGACAAGACCTTACATGGAATATCCTTTGTTTTTTTCTTAGGACGATTTTACCCTTACTTTGGACTTTCAGTAGGCGTGACTTTCTCGGCGCTACGTAATAGCGAATACTAGTAGATTCCCATTGGTTACGAAATTAATAACATCAGGAACTTAAAATTGTTGTTGATAAAGATGAGACGACTTATGCCCCACCTCTGTGCCGTGAGAGAACTTTTAATTGGCTATTTACTACACCAGTTGACATTCGGCCGCATTTCTATCATATGTATATTTCAACAGTGAAGGGAAGCTGTGTAAATTTCAGAAGCTAATTAGGTAACGTCGAGAATGCCACGCCTTACTGAAAGTCCAAACTCAGCGTGTAATGAATACTTTTGACCTTCAATTTACCGTTTTAAAATTTAACCTTGGACATGGCTTTGAATGCTTAATGCAAGGTTTGATAATTCACAGGTGTATTTCTTATGACAAGACCTTCATTAAAATACCAACAATCTTATTTTTTTTTACCTTGATATTTGAGTTTAGCTTTGCTGTAACCTTTGAACGGTTGTTGCTAAGACAACCTGCCAACAACATTTATGTTTATATCTTTTGACCAGCAGATGTCTGTTCAACACAGCGTGCGCTCGCGAACATTTCTGTTGGAGGTATAAGCAATTCTGACAATTTTGGTTATCAATATATTATTGTTTGCAGCTAACTGTAAAGTTTCACGTTACGTCACGGTCTTTTTCGTCAGATGCATCCAGCGTAAACAATGCACGTGATTGGTCAACTCAAATTATCAACATTGACACGGAAATAGTCTGTTGCACGAGCAACCAATCAGGGATAAGAAGGAAGTTCCAGTCGCAAAGCTTGCGGTTAGGAGGCGTGTACAATTTACCTTGAGTGCAGCTGTCAACTATATCGTGACGTAACGTGAAACTTTACAGTTGGCTGCAAACGATAATATTTTTTATTACATTTTTACCCGTGAAATACTGTAATTTATTCATTGAATAAAAATGATATCCTGTCACAGTATGAAAGGATATCAAAATGATATCCTGTCACAGTGTGACGAATATCAGAAGTGCGGGAAAACTCTCAATATCCCTTCCCATAACGAAGACTGCTGTAAAAAAATATTCCTTGACTTAATATAAATAGATGGAAATAAATAAACCATTCTGACAGCGAATAAAACTGTCAAATTACCAAAAATATGTTGCTAAATCCATGTTTACAGTGTTTACACCTCACTTAGCTATGACGTCTCAACCGCTCATTCTATGACGTCACGAGCCTATGACTGTATTACAAAAAGACAGAGGCAAAGGAAAAATCAAAGATTTCTTCTTTTTTTTAATGTAATAAACAGAAAATTCAATGTTTTGTAGTTGAATATGAAATTTATTTCACTCGTGATACAGGATTTTTTTGATATTTTCACTCGTGCTTCGCACTCGTGAAAATATCAAAAATCCTGTCCCACTCGTGAAATAAATTCCACATTCAACTACAAAACATTGAATATATCCTCTATGTCCTTTACCTTCACCTTGGAGGTATTTTGTATTTGAGAAACTTTAACTTGCTTACAGGGGCATTGGCATTTCACAAACACTTCTTGTTGATTTTCAAAAGTTTACCATACGTTTATTTCATAAATCTTAAAAAAATATTTCCTAAGTCTGTCCAGGTTAAAAGTTTTCAATAACTTGATGCTTGATGCGACAAGTGGGCTTCATAGGAATACGGCATTTCGTCGTCCGCCTGAAAAAGTATCAAGTATGTATACTTTCGTAGATTGTTTCAAGTTGTTGTAATTTATAACAAAGTTTAAGCATGAAAATAATGTTTTTAATTCTTGATATACATATATTTAAAAAGTGATGTAACAATGGTCAACATTGTATAATATATACTTAATTCCATGGATTCATTCCATTGAAATTCAACACAGTCAAATGTTACAGTATCATTTATTTTTAATTAATATTTTTTAAATAAATACAGATCTTGCTTTAGATTTCTTTATTACGTAATATCTCCAGTTGGAATGAAACTGTTCATGCTGGAATGTTGCTATAACAATGGTTGTAGATAAAGAAGAAACAAGAAAAGCCTTAAAATAAATTCATCACTATCTGAACAATAACTGTCAGGTAAAATATAAATATCTCATCAACTTTAAATTATATCACTCATAGTTTACACGTATGTAAAAAAATAAAATAATAAGAAAACAGTATGACAAATAAATTACAATAAATAAACAAATTTCAACAACTCATAGGAAATGTGTACATTATTAATGAATAAGTTACCACATCAAGCTTTCAGGACCATTCACACATGACTCTTGTATGACAAATATCATCAGTGATGCACTAGTTTAAAATTTCTTCAAAAGTTGAAAAATCATGCATTTTGTGCCGCTAAGTTTAAAACTATTCAAAAGAATTGCTTAATGCTACTGCAAAGAATAAAAGAACGTTAAAAAATTATAAATATCAGAGAAAAACTTCAATGAAAAAAGAAAATTCTAAAATTGTGGTTTTTCTTACAGTCAATTTAACACAATTAAAGCAAAGTATCCCGGAAGTGATAGCGAATGTAAATCACTAAAATGAGATAAGTCGTGCCTGGTTGTTTCTTTTGTTTGGTTGTATGAAGATACAACAGTTTGTTGATCGGTCATGGCAGTGTCCTATGTCAGATGGAGTTTGTGTAAAACTGAGACAGATTCGGATCCTCCGCTACTTCCTCTGCTACCGGAAAAAAAATCATCCAATAGGTGTTAACGTTCTAGTGTCACATGTCACTTGTGTGGGGTTTAGAAATAATTATCATTCCGAGGAATGTCTTTATCTAAATGTCTTCTTTCAGTTTTGAGCAGGGAATGAAAATGTCGAGTTTTCACACACTACATCCAGATGTCCATGAAATCTAGAACATACTCAAATTCATCTCGCTCCACGCATCCATCACCTTCAATAAAAAAAATCATGTTTTAGTGAAATTTTTGTGACCTTTTGTGCATTAATGTTTTATGCTAACTTTTATGTTCATAAAAGAAAAGCTTCATCACATTCAAAGAAGGCTGTGTATAAACTAATAAACTAAAATTTGTGGATTCTTTGCAGAACAAATACATCAACATCTCTTTAAAAATAGTATTTCCAAGTTAACACACATCAATATAACATTAATATATAATTCTTTGATTTATGGAAGACGATGGTTTCTAAATAACGTCCTAAACTTTACTTACCATTTAAATCAAACATTCTGAACATCTCTGAGATAAATCTATGTTTTGTTCTAAAACTCTTTGAGTGGTGCCTGAAGCGTGAATGTAAATTTCCCTGGAGTTCATTTCTCTTGTCCCACCTCACTCCCACGGCACCTAAAATTAGAATTTTAAAATTCAATTAATATTTGATATATTCCAAAAGGAGCAGAAAAAGTACATGTTTTACCGAAGGTAATTTAGCCTTTTTTTTCTCCAAATGCACTCTCTGCAACAAGGCGTGCATAGAGAGAGGTTTTTTCTAGTCAGAGCCTGCTATAAACAGACATAAATCCTTTTGTTTCATTCAATCATTGTTTAAATTAAATTAAGTCGTGCATTCTTTGTCAAAATATATATTGGTTTTGAAACAATTAAAATTCGCCCGAAGGAACGAACATTTTTGTTTTACTAGCACACAGGAAACGGCTAAATGTTCTCCAGACCAGACTTCGACATAATTGTGCATTGAATAATGACCTCTATAGATGCAATTTAATTTCAAGCCCCTTATGCTCTTGTGGCAAAAAAGAAGATGCGTACCATTATCTTTTTGTATGTCCAAAGTATAAGGAAGCCATAAAAATTTTTTTGGATAAATTTTTAATATTTGATAAAATTCATATTTTAGATATAGATGTCTTATTATGGGGGGTAGATTCAATGAGTGCTGTGGAGAACGAACGTCTTTTCTCTAATGTTCAAACATTTATCAAACATTCTGGCAGATTCGCATGTTAGTATTACTGTTATTATATTCTATTTATTCATACATGCATGTATATACAAAATTAAATGTATGATTCTCTAAAATGCATTGATTTGTAAATTTTGCACATATTGAATACATGTACTTTGAATGTACATATCTAACTGTGACCTAATTGAATTTTTGTAATTTATATGCAGGGAGAGGGCGTCATAAGTTTTTAGAACTTGTGCCCAATCCCTTTGTAATTAGAAATTACAATAAAATATGTTCAAAACCACAGGAAACGAAAGTGAGAGCAATTAAGGCTTCGTCCAAGATCATAAATTTCTAGCTTAGCAATTTGGCAAGCTACCTGCTATCTACTGAACGCTTTTCATTCCTATGCAGCAGCTAGGCTAGCGCAGCGTTCAAGATCGTAGTTCTTCGCTACGATCTTGAATGAAGCCAAGATACCATATCACATCAAATCTGATACCGACTAGTTTTCAAGTCACACGGTGCTAAGAACATTCAGAATTCTTATAATTAAGTCAATGCTACCATAAAGTGCTAAATATACTCGCGGATGAAGACACTGAGATAGAGATAGCGGATAGTTCTGGTGTGCTTCGTCACAATAGCGTCATACTTGTTTCCCATGGCATGAGGCCTCTGCCTGTAGCGTTTGTGTTAATCTGTATTTTTTATAGCCATAGTGAGAGATGATGTTTTTTATTGAATATTTTGACCATTATTTGATTGAATCTAGACGTTTTATCAGATGTGTTATAACCAATTTACGTACGGCTACACAAACCCTGATCTCGATTGTATCTGATCGACTCCATCGAAAGTTCAATGCCACGGTAACGCCCACACTTAGTGAAATCAACCGAGTTAACCACGATCCTGATCCTTTTTTAGGACTATTTTACATTTCAGTTACCCCGAATTTGATAATGGTTTTTGTGCCTCATCTTCAAAAAAAGTCGATTTCGGTCGGAGAAACCAGCAATACTTGAGTATTATTTTTAAACTTTTACCTAAGACAACAGTCTCTGAACTTTCCAGTTTAAAAGCGATCCGCATAGTTGTAATATCACTGGTATATTTTGATGAGGCACTTTTAATAAATCGGTATGATAGACGTGCAGGATAAAAGACAAAATTTGACATCACTTGTGTGTAATCTCATCTTTTCATACTAGACAATGAAAATTACCGGGAGCCAGTTACAGAAACCCTATAATGGCACTCTGTCTGAGATAAATTCCGGGCCCAGTGTGATGGTGGTTATTTGATCCTCGTCCTGCATCACTGATGCTTGTTCTACAAAACACACTATCAAAAGGAGACTGAACCTTTAGACGACGACTTCCGTATTTTGATGGGTGTTGGTGCTCGAACACAAACGAATATAGGCAATCCATCAACCACTCTATGGCTTGTAACTATTAAAACAGCGTGTATTTCGGGGGAGGTAGACAAATATAGCAGACCATGGTATTTTATATTTTACTCTTCTTTCCCAATTGTTCTCATATGCTATTTCGAGGACCATTGCTCAAAATAACAATGAGGATGATTTTTGTTATCTTGTTAAAACCTTTTTTCCCATTATCATTGATTTTTATTGTTCATGTTTGATTTGAAAAGAGACGAACGCAGTCACCCTGTTCATAGTCTTCTGTATTTTTAAGAATCTTTATAATCCATACAATGTACAGTATGTATTGTTCATGGCTCTAGCTCTTTGTCGATGAAGTCGATTTACAACCGATTTCTCACTAAATTAAACCATTTAATTTTTGAAATTTTAAAGTATGTTTCAGTTAGAAATGAATTGCCATGTTTTGCTAGGACATTTTTTTTCTGTGTTTATTTGTTCATAAGACATTTTATTTTATTATTATATCAACTAGTGCTAATTGTAACGGGAACCGTTACAGATGTTCCCCAAACGCTCCCCAACTCCCTTTCGGTGCCATATTCCCTGCAAGTTTCATTAAATAAGACAAACTCTGTGCATTTTTGACTTTAACAACGTTTTTCCAGAAGAATACGAATTATATTCAATTTTTAGCATTGCACCCAAGCGCATGTGAATGCATGTGCGTTATGACCATATTATCTTGTCTACACTATTTATATATTTTAATATACTATATATTAAAGCATTCAGTCCAAAAGTAATAAAAATCACTCATTCAAGTGTATTTTTAAATATACTCGTTTCAAATGCACGCACGTGCGTGCACGTGCATGATGATCATACCTTCTTGAAGGAGTCCCTTACATCTATCTATGTTCTAAATCCCATCCTGTTTGGTTGAAAAACAAGGGAGTTATAGCCATTTAAAGTTTCAGCCAATCAGATTGCAGCACACGTGTATGCGCGTGATTTTATGATTTATTTTAATATCATTTTGTAGGATATCCTAAAGCATGACTATATTTAAAATTTCAAAGAATTTCGTCAAAAAACAAAGAAGAAATAGCCATTTAAAGTTTCAGCCAATCAGATTGCAGCACACGTGCATGCGCGTGATATCATGATTTTTTTCTATATCATTTTGTAGGATATCCTAATGCATGACTATATTTTAAATTTCAAAGAATTTCGTCAAAAAACAAAGGAGATATTGCCATTTAAAGTTTCAGCCAATCAGCTTGCAGCACGTGCACATGCGCATGCTTTCATGAAAATTCTTATATATCATGCGGTAGATCTTCATAATGTAGGACTATGTTCAAAATTTCAAAGGATTATGACAAGAAACAAGAAAGATATTGAGACTTTAGTTTCAGCCAATCAGAGCGAAGCGCACGTGCATGCGCGTTAGATCTTGCTATTTTGACCATGCTATCTTGTCTATACTACTAATGTATCCTTACATTATGAGTTTCAAAAAATTTCATCAAAAAATAGAAAAGTTACGGCAATATCCATTATATTGGTCATTTCACGTGTTCCACGTGCGCGCTCTTGCAAGCACGTGCGCGCTCTTGCAAGCACGTGCGCGCAAAATGACCTTCGTTCGGCAACTCTACATAACATGCCTACTGACCCTAAAAAGGTTTCACCTAAGTCGGATGTATAGTTTACAAGATCACTCGTGGACAAAATTTTCCCAGGAAGAAGAAAAATAATAAGAATAATAACTAGTGCTAATTGTAACGGGGACCGTTACAGATGTTCCCCAAACGCTCCCCAACTCCCTTTTGGTGCCATATTCCCTGTAATCTCTGAAATACTTAATGGAATTAAAACTTATCAAGGTCTTCCCAGAAGAATACAAAATATATTTAAATTTAAGCATTGTACGCTTGTTCATGTGCGTAACGACCATATTATCTTGTCTACACTATCTATATATTTTAATATACTTGATATCAAAGATGTTATCCAAAAGTATTAAAAAATACACTAATTCGAGTGTATTTTTAATTTTACTCATTTCACGTGCACGCACGTGCAAGCAAGTGCATGATGAATACACCTTCCTGTAGGAGTCCCTTATATTTATCTATGTTCTAAATCCCATCCTGTTTGGTTAAAAAACAAGGGAGTTATAGCCATTTGAAGTTTCAGCCAATCAGATTGCAGCACACATGCATGCGCGTGATTTCATGAATTTTTTTATCTTAATCGTATTGAAGGATATCTTAATGAATGACTATATTTAAAATTCCAAACATTTCGTCAAAAAACATAGGATAAATAGTTATTTAAAGTTTCAGCCAATCAGATTGCAGCACACGTGCATGCGCGTGATTTCATGATTTTTTTCTATATCATTTTGTAGGATATCCTAATGCATGACTATATTTTAAATTTCAAAGAATTTCGTCAAAAAACAAAGGAGAAATAGCCATTTAAAGTTTCAGCCAATCAGATTGCAGCACACGTGCATGCACGAGATTTCATGATTTTTTTCTACATCATTTTGTAGGATATCCTAATGCATGACTATATTTTAAATTTCAAAGAATTTCGTCAAAAAACAAAGGAGAAATAGCCATTTAAAGTTTCAGCCAATCAGATTGCAGCACACGTGCATGCGCGTGATTTCATGATTTTTTTTCTATATCATTTTGTAGGATATCCTTATGCATGACTATATTTTAAATTTCAAAGAATTTCCTCAAAAAACAAAGGAGAAATAGCCATTTAAAGTTTCAGCCAATCAGCTTGCAGCACGCGCGCATGCGCATGCTTTCATGAAAATTCTTATATATCATGTGGTAGATCTTCATAATGTAGGACTATGTTCAAAATTTCAAAGGATTATGACAAGAAACAAGAAAGTTATTGAGACTTTAATTTCAGCCAATCAGAGCAAAGCGCACGTGCATGCGCGTGAGATCTTGCTATTTTGACCATGCCATCTTGTCTATACTACTAATGTATCCTTACATTATGAGT